AAAATATAGCTATACTCAAGCAAACGCATTTTGTCAAGTTTCGAAGGACGAATGATGCTCTTTATAAAAATCAACTCAAATATCAGCTAAACATACCCATATCTAGCATATTCAGAGTAACAAAATTGTGACATTTTTGTGGAAATTTTGGGAAATTAAGCCTTTTCCAATAGATTGCGCTGCAAAATCTAAAAATAGCCTTAAATCAAATTTTAAAGTTAGAACTTTTTTTCTCTTGACTATCAACATATGTGCAAAATTTCATTACATTTGGTTGACATGTCATGTGGACCCACTTATAAGCCTTTTGCATGGTTCTATCAAAGACTGGGTGTTAATCAGCATCCGATGCATTTCGTGCCAATCTAACGAGTCAATCAATTTCATACTGATTTGTACAGTTCAATCTTGTTTTGTGCTGTTACACCACGGTCTAAGGTACTGTGGAAGGATTAAGCGGTCACGAACATGTTTATACCCCTGCCACATGCATGTGCCTCTCTCTCACAAGGCAGGAGCCTGTAATTCAGTATTTGTTGACGAAATATTTGTCGATATTATTCCCTCATCTTATTTTTTCATCGGCATCGTTGCACAAATATTTAGACATATATTTATAGGTTTCATAAAGTATGGGTATTGGACATCTCTTGCTATCAGCTCGGGTTACTTTTTTGTAATAAATATGTTAATTATAAACGAGCCCTTGGCAAACAAATATTTTATTAATTTTTAGAATTAGATCGAAATAAAAATAAGAGGTTGTGGTGGTATAATCGAAATCAGAGAACTATTCACTAGAGACGTAATGACGTAGATGTAAGAAACTAAAGGTCATCGTACGTCCTTCAACAATGATAAAAATCATGTAGTAAACTATAAAAATCCTCGAAATGACATATATTATACAATTCAAACGGAAAAAAGACTAACAGCCTGATTTATGTTTACAACAATAAACGAAAAACAAAAATGAATAAAGCGACCAATGACAACCTCTGTATCATAGACTTCTGACTGTAACAAGCACATAAAGACGGTTTTTTTGTGTGCATATATTGTATCGCCTTTCGCGTAAACAACAATGTCGGAATTGCTTATTTCATTGATTTACCACGTTATAGCGTAAAATTTGTAAATAGCATTGAACAATTGCTTGAGTTTTATCTGTATACACCTTTTTTAAGTGTTAAACAGCACTACTTGAACGGTATTCAATAAATTTCATTTGCTTTGAAATAAATGGCATCACACATCCGGATGACTTATACTGGTTGACATTTTTCAAAACTAATTTACACAACAGTCATTCAACATACTTTAAAAGCCGAGTTCGGTATGAATAAGGCATGGATAATTATACATGAAAATGTACGTACAATGTCAAAAGAAAAACAATAGTTTCTCGAGGATTCATTCACTTTTATTAGGTAGATTGACGTAAATTACTTTTTTTATATGAAGGAATTGACATTTTACATAATCTTTCTGTCACATTTATTTGTACTTTTGAAAATATTTCTTATGTTCCCATACAAGATTAGAACACTATACCTTAAGAAATCCATATACTCTTTTCAGTTTGTCATGAGGCTAATTTAGGAATCCCCAACAGTATAATTTAAATTCGATTTAAATTGTTATCACAAATTGTAAAAAAATGTAATAACGAATCTGAGGAAATTAGTTATCGCATATTACTACATTTTGTGGTTACGTTGTGACCCAGATTTGTATTCGCTAAAGCGATTTATGACTATTGAACAGCAGTATACTACTAGCTGTTGCCTTTATCTACGGATTGCGTTTGTTATCACGAATTTGAGAAATCGTTATCACAAATTCGTTACCAAGGAGTTTATCAGAGTTTAGGTTTTAGAACCACATAACAATCAAATTGGACAACAACAGTTGTTAAAAGTAGACAAAAATGCCGTCAAAAATCACAGAAAGGGTTCTTACAAACTCGCCTTCACCTTTTCAAATTAATATTAAATTTATTGACCAAAATTCTATACCAATATAAACGATGTTACTAAAATAAGAAAATAGGAAAAAAAGATAAAAATGTTGACTGGATCAGTTTATGACAGATCAGTTTATGCATAGTTCATGTTGAATCCAAATCACGGGTGTTAAAGTGTAGTGTTCCTCAACAAATTAATATGATATCAAATTACATATAATCCCCCCCCCCCCCCTACAAACATTTAAAAAAGTTAATTTTAATTTGAATTTCCGGTTTGATTTTTTGTTTGTTGATTGTGTTTATTGCCACTTTCAGCGGCATTAATTTGGCTAAATATCATAGTGGACAAGTTTTGATAGTGGACAAAACCGAATAAATGCGATAGATAGGTCTGCAAAGGGCATCGATAAAAAGGAAGGACGGCAATTGTAGACAGCAAATGGGAAAAAAACCAAACCACCAGGCATGTTTGGAACGGGCTCGGCGTGTACATAGATATGAAAATTATTGGGGTCTCTGAAATGTATAAGTGTATGATAAAATTGGTTATAACGCAGTCATGTTACTCAATGTCTAAGACACTCACGTAAAAAGTATCTCACATTTATTCAAATTCATACATCAAAGAAGATAACAAAAAAGCAGGTTCCTTTTTGTTTTTATATTAGAGTAGACAATGATATGATAACAACTATTGGTACAGTAGTATTTGTTAATAAATCACCAAAAACAGTGTAATACACTTAGTAACTGAACCTTTTTTCTTTTTATTTAGATTAAATGTCGACAAAAAAGTTGAACTTTTTATATACATACCAAAGAGTCTAGCTTTGCAGCTAAAAATAAAGCTACTCGACTCATACATGAAGCTTTGAATATTTCAATGACATCTGCTCATATTGTTAAATAACCGTAACATTCTTTTCTTTCCTATCTTGTGAATCCAGAAATACTTGTATTAGGGTTTGGTTATTCACATATACCGATGGTTTATAAATTTGATAATTGTGGGGGTTAGGTAAGAGTTTCTTCACCTGAACATCGGATATATTTCATCAACATAACTTAACAGGATAATCCTGCAAGCGGAGCAATAACTTCTGATCCTTCCGAAGTCCTATGGTTCATTCCCGGTATTCGATGGAGTTTAATTTGTTTAACCGTTATTTTTTGTGTAATTGTATGCGATTTGTTTTTGTCTGTACGGCTTTTTTGTTTTATGTATGGTGTTGTTAGTCTGTCTTCGACTAATGATCTATATCCCTTCTATTCTTTATCTCCGCTCCCTGTTAAATACTTAAATTTTATATTTCTTATACTTAAAACAGATTTTATTTGATTTTGTTTTCTACCTTTGAAACATATAAGTTTCCATAACTTTCGTTTGACTAGCTTTTCGTCGTTTGAACTGTCTCGTGACGACGCAAGATCAAGGTAATACTATGGCGAATGTTTATTTTAAAATTGATTTAAACATAAGTGATAGATCGAAGATAACATTATTTTGTAAGGTCACGGATTCTCGACTAGAACAAGATCATAACTCAATTCTCTTTACTTTAATACTCACTTGTTTTGTAAATATGTCTATTTTTGTGTAATTTCTTATTAACTACAACACAAATTTGCTATTGTGTTTGCATATTTTAATAGTAAATTTTAATTCTTAAATTTTATTTCTTAAAATTTTACCGGAAAGTAATTGTTAATTGTTATAACAACATCTATTGTACTTTGTTTGCTGGCATAGGTTGAATATATATTTTCAAATAATGGCATAAGTTGAAGACACCCATAGGGTATGGACTTAGTCGCTTGATACTAAAACTAGGCATAAATACAACTGGAACTACTGAAGATCTGTCAACATAACCCAATTATGAAATAAACATAAAGGGGATCTATGCTGTGCCGTAATCCTAACGATAACAACAAGAAATAACAAATACTATTGACAGTGCTTTCTGACTTCACAAAGGCATTTAATTCTATGACAGGATATCACAAGTTTTGAGAATATAAAGACGTGTTGGTATTTGTGACATGGACAGAGCCACATGTATGATAACCAAAGAATCAAAGATGAATCTTGAGAGTTTAGAACCAATCTTAAGTCATAGATGCCAGTTATAGCTAGAAACTTGGTCAATTGTATTCCCTGTTTATGTCTTCATATTGAAACCGGCTCGGTGATATATTGGAATGTGGTAGCGTGGTCGCCTTGTGTACCTGTGCCGGAGATTGTGAGTTCGATCTCCTGCAAGTTCAAACTAAATAATTGGGACCTGGTATTTATTGCTTATCCTCGAAGGACGAGGCATTCAGGCGTAAGAGTATCATCTGGTCGGCTCGTATTCCAAATAATGTGTTCGGGAAGGGTTACATATCCTACTTTGGACTGTTACCATACTGATAAGCACGTTAAAATCATGCTTCGAGTGTAGGTCTAGTACAAAGCAGGGTTTATTATCATATCTCATCAACATGGTCTCGTACTGATTTGCATGTTAAATTTGCTACTTGACGTTTAACACCCACCCATCCTTCTTCATTTTGTACGGATAAAGTATCAAAAGATTTCAGATCTCCACAGGTAGTTTCTGTTTTATTAATCCCATCATGTCTAGACCCAGTGCCATTAAAGTATTGAAATAATATGGTTTATACATTTGTCGTCTGTCTAAGACCCTATGTTTACCTGTCGTTGTCTTTCTTTGTTTTTATTGTTCGGTCTCTGTCTCATTGACGCATTGACATATCCAATATCTTATATATCTAATAACAGATTACTGAATTCTTTGATACGAGATTTACTGCTGTTTACCATTCAAACATTTTTGTCGTTATATATTTTTAAAAAATAATTTGCAGTTTGTTTCAAAAGGGATTAAAACAATATTACTGTAACGGTTTAAAATTAGTTACGCCTTACAATTGAATGAAAGTCATATCAATGATTACGCAAATATAGTATCTACATGTGTAAGTTGGTCCACGATAAGTACATGTACACAAGTGGAATTTAATGGTTAAGTAGAGTCATGTCATTGGCATATGGAATTACGCTAAGCACATTAGGTATGATGAAACAGTCATGGAAGATTGGCTGAACATATTTTTTTTCAACGTTGTTTGAATTTGGTAATATATGTAGATGTCTTTGTTGCAGTAAGACTCGGGATCGCAGTAACTAGTGTATGTGTAATGTTATGGTATACTTACCTTGATATAGTACAATTTGTCACGGGATGATAGATTAAGATGTAACACTAAACAAATTAGAAGTTAGGTCGAACTCACTGGTATCATTTCACAATTCTTTCGTTTATTTTTTTATTTCAACTTATAACAAAGTGTTACATCTACATACATATACGTTATAATGAAAATTTGTAGTACTTTTGTTTATAATTAAATAAAAATTAACCGCTTGTGAATAGTTCATAACTCTAATTTTGATGAATATTTTATGCGGGTTTTTTTCTTCATAAATCAGTATTTTACAATGTAATTGATGTGAAAGTAATACATAATTTAGTGTCATGTAGAAATTTACTCACTATGGTTATTCATGCCATTTCGATGAACATTTCACAAAACGATATAAAATTCAATAATGAATAATTTTTGTCTTCATCGTCAATGTACAAAAAAATGTATAGAACTGGATACTACGTTTAAATGAATGTATTTGTGATATTATCGGAAGGTATATTATTATAACACCCTTACATTAAACTGTTTTTCAGTTTTATCATCTTTTTTTATATTGATTTACTCATTGACCCATGTACTTCTTTTATAAGGTGAAGTTGACATTTATTACATCAAGCGGTGTTTCATATATAAAATAATACCGAAAACTATAATTACTGTAAAATGTATTTAAACAATTATCATTGTGCATATAATTTTCTTTTCGTTCTGTATTACTTACTCCTGCTAAACTTAAGTTCTAGTTATGTGTGGTGCAAACAACTGTGAAGATCGTAGCGTTAGAGGATGCCAAAGACTAGCTGCCATAAAACAAGATATGTGTCAGGACAACTGTATGGCAACTCTCTGTCCTAGGACCTGTGGATTGTGTCGTAAGTATTAAACGATGCCAAAGACTAGCTGCCATAAAACAAGATATGTGTCAGGACAACTGTATGGCAACTCTCTATCCTAGGACCTGTGGACTGTGTCGTAAGTATTGAATGATGTTAAAGACTAGCAGCCATAAGACAAGTCATGCGTAAGCACAACTGTGTTCCAACACTATGTCCTAGGACCCGTGGATTGTGTAGTGTGTATATTCATTCGTTTTTAGATTATATATAGTCTGTCATGATGACAACCAGCTTATCTGTGAAATTTTGTTAAATTTTCCTGAATTATTTGTAATATGCCTGACTGCATGTTCATTTGTGAATGTTTATTTTAGTTTCTTATTTCACTTATAGATTCGTCATATTCTATATTTATTAGCTATTTTGTATCGTGTTCCAAAGAAGAGTCCACATATGGTCTCTTTGATTTGAAATATTATTCTAAAATGTTAAAGTTATAACAATAATATTCTAAAATGTTAAAGTAATAACACCCATGTTCTTGTACAGAATGAAATTTGCCTGTATGTTCCTTTATTTCAGCTTTGAAATGTTATTCGTGTGAACATGTAGATCATCCTTCAGATTGTCTACACATAGTTCACTGCAGTAATTTGTCCATGGTAAGTGTTAACTATGAGATTAACCATTCTCCAACTGCTTAGTAAGAGGAAGTAAGAGAAACAAGATGTATTGTGAGTTGTGGCTAACACATCATTCACAATGATACACCGCGATAAATATGTGGTAACATAACACTACTGAAACACTAATGTAAAATACGTAATTACTTCGAGCATGCTTATGGAAGCTCGATACAAATCTCAGAAAGCTCTGATTTATTTATAGTTCCAATGAAAAAATGTAAAGAAATATCATTGGACGGATAGACAGACAGACAGGCGGACAGAAGGTAAAGAAGTACTGAAGACCATTATCCTTCTAGCGAAAGTATAAATATAATTTAGCAATTAATTAACGATGGAAAAACATTTACATTATACCGTTAAAATTTCAATAGCTTTAATCTGTTATATAGAAAATAATTATCTCAAGAAATTTTAAATTACTGTTTCTGTGTTGCGTTCTTACATCTTTTATCTGTTGCATTTTTACAAGAACATTTCAAAAATATGTATCCGCTTTTTACTCTTCTTTCTCCTAACCATCTTGATGTTTACTTTTAAATTTTCTCAATGCTTTATACTATGTCAATTGTTTCCATTATTACATTATAATTTTCATATGTCATTATTTTAAGTCCTGTATTGCAAGCCAAACAGTAACAGCATCTCTTGAGAAAAAGTTTCAGCTTGGATGTGTAGATAATATGGCAAGTATCTAACAAAACTGTAAATGTTTTATCAAAGTCCCCTGTCACAGTCTCTTCTTTACAAATATAACTGACCAAAATCATGAAGGGAAATACCATTTCTTCTCTGTACATTATTCCAGTTCAAGTATTTTTAAATATTTGTTAGCCTTAAACCCTATACAAAAAGTTCATTTTAAGACGTGTTACAATGTAATGTGAATTCACATATTTAAGCTTCACACGGAATTAAACTCCACCGTTATTATGTCCCTTATGAAAGAAAAACACACCATAGATTTTTCATTCAGATATTGCTTGAATTGTTATTTATGCTCAAACACATATGTGAAACCACACTTTTTTCATGTACAGATATAAGCTTTCATGAGGGGCGTAAAGGGGGGTGGGGGTATCTGCACGGAAGAACGCGAAATAAAATTGCCATTTCACGATGAACGAACAATTAAAAATTTCTCGCACGTTGATTTTTTTACCGATTTCACGATGAATAACGAACCTTTTGCACGGCTGCACGTGAAATAAAAATGGCAAAACACGTTGCACGAAAATAACCCTTTACCACCCTCTTCCATATGTGTCATGCAGTTTTCTACTAGACAACATATATAGTATGGCCATGTTTCGAATATTTCAAAAAGATATTAAACGACTGAAGTACTCATATTGTTCTATTTTTTGACTGAATTTTTATTAACATTTTTTATTCTGATAGGTATGCAAGGATTTGTATGGTGCTGTTCCAAATCCCACTCAGTCAAAGGTCAGACGAGATGTTGATTTGATTGGAGGATGTTGTTCTTCAGACTTATGCAATAAATACAATGAACCTGATAAAATACCCGCCCCTACTATAAATCCTGGTATGTTTTCTGTATGAAAGAATATTGAACACGTCAATTTTAAATAGTTCCAGTACGGTTCTTTAACAACCAATATCAATCATAAAGAATGATATGAAATCAAAGGCTTATATTAAAATGATACGCATGCAGCAATCGAATACACAAGGCCTTGTTAAAAGAAAAAAAAAACCCCTACTCAGACAACAACAATCCAATGAAGATTAAAGACAAGACTGGGCAAAACTAACCCCCCGCAAAAAAAAAAAAAAAAAACCGCAAAAGAAAACATAAGTTTATTCAGGTTTCCAGAAAGGTCAGCAGTCCCTAGTACACTAAAGGCATATATAAAACCAAAATGTCCGTATGAGAATCAAATATTGTATACTCAATGCAGTAATAATGTAATAAAGGGGACATGATTTCATATTACGTATATAAAAAAAATACCAAAATATTTAGAACGAAAAACGACGTTAAAGCCACAACACTCACCATAGAACAATACAAAAGAAAAACAATATTATCAAAGTTATCGTGGGCTTCAAGGAAGAGACTAAAGTGGGCAATCGACAATCATATGGTAAAAGAGAACAAAGACGTTTACTCAAATGAGATTGATATTGAACTTTTCCGTGTTTCATTGTTGTCAAAATTATTTGTGAGAAGACCCTTCAAAACGATCGTTTTTAAGATGTGTAGCACGCGCTCGTCGTTAGAAACATGCGTTAAAAATGTACACTGTTTAAGTGTAGAATCACCTTAAAATGGATTGCCTGTATTTTTTGTATTTCATATCTACTATTACTTTGTTTTTTATATTTGAAAAATTATTTAAAAAAAGTCTGAATGACACATTAATAATATAAATATATCTTTTTCTCTCTAATGTTTTTAAAGTCCAACCTTCTGGTAAAACAGATGGAGTTAGTGCTGCCTGTTCAGAGATGGACACTGAAGTTTGTCGATACCTTTCGGAAAACAATGGATGTGACCAGACTTGTGTGGCTTCTTTGTGTCCACAGACTTGTGGCAAATGTTGTAAGTATGATTTGTATGCAGATGTATGTAGTTAACTTTTTACTGGCAGAATTGTTTTATTTTCTTGAATAGTGGTGTCATAATAATAAGTGTTGGACACCGGTGTATGAAATAGTATGCAAAACGGCGGCAATGATTCAGATAAAAGTAAAGTTTATATTTGAAACACAAAACAGACAATTGTATTGATGTCTAACATTCGATCCATGAATTTGGAAGTAGATGTGTAAATGAAACACGTGACAAAAACCACTGGTCTATAGACATATAAGTTAGAATAAGATAAAGTTTTTATAAACAACAATTTCAATCTCAAAGTCACAGTGAGGCCTTCAGCACGGAGCAAAAACACTCTCATCTCACTGAAAGTTTAAGACGGTCCTGTGAACTTTTTTTTTCATCGACTTTCGTTTTTGCCATATGACGCTGCCATTTTCTGCCCACCTTGAGTTTTGAATATCTTCCATCGTCGTTTGTTTTTGTTTTTTGACCAAGGAATCGATCAAGCGTGCTTGATTTGTTATATTTTTTTTATAAATTCACATTTATTTTATGAACTCAATTTTAAACCTGAAGGTCTTAAATATTTTTGTTTTGTTATTTTTTCCACGCAAAGCTCTTACATGCTATGAATGTGCAAGTATTGACATGCCAGAACATTGCAGAGACAGAGTAATGTGCGATGGACATAAGGTAAGCAATAATATTTTCAATGCTATAAATTATTCCGTACCAATTTAACGTTTACTATGACTGTTATCTTTAATTCGGCCAAACGAAACGTTGCTTGTAAACAAATCTCTCGGTCTCGCACATTCGAGATTTAAACGTGATGTGAACACTGGATTGGAAATCGTGTAAAATGTTTATATAACTTTGGAAGTATTTATATGTAATAACATATCTATATGCCAATTTTTGCAGGTTTCTAAAAAAAAAAACAACTGTATAAGCAATTTGTAATAATTAAGACAAACATTTTACTTTTTGATAATTCAGAGGTCTTATTTGTGATATTATCTAACAGGGCGCATCAGGGGATTTTTTTTTTCATGATGGCGAGCAACATTTTATTATATTTAAGCGTATTTGTTTTACAGGTACATGTAACACGTGTAGAATATATGGATTGTTCATGATTGACATGCAAATCCCATGAACATTTTTCATGGGGTTCCGTTAATCAAATTTAAAACAAATCGTAGGAAAATTAACATCCTTCTAGTCATGATTTAAAAGTGTAACACACAAAGCATTCAGAACTATTATGCAGATACAAGAATATAAAGCTGTCAATTTTTTTAATGCTTTTTTAATCCCATAAAATTGTAAAAATGTGGGTTTAAAAGTATATAGCCGTTCAAAATTTTGATAGGACAATATATTTCCTTGCTCATCTAGAAGGTCATTCACAGTCCATACCCCATTTTGTGCCCAACTTCTATAATACACAGACATTATCAATTTTAATGTTCTCATTATTCCATATAGATGAAGAGATGACTTCCTCAAAATAACAAGGATGTCGGAGTCTTGACATATTTTTCCAGGCATAAAAAACTTCTTTCCAAAAAACGTTATCTAATTTTTTAGTTGTTCCAAAATAAGCAAACTCTGTAAAATTTATATATTGTGTAGCAGTAAATAATTTGATCCACTTTGAATTTGAATTAAATTATCTTCTAACCCAAGTCAATTTTAGCCCTTGTATAAAATTTCTCAAATTAATCATTTTTAAACCCCCTCTGCAGTATTCCTGACATAAAAGCTCCCGATTTACCTTGTCAGGTTTACCATCCCAAATGAATGCATAAATTTTACTATTGGGTTACAATCGATGGGAATCAACACTGAAAGGGAAAAAAAAACCAACAAGCTTTGTTACCTTTTAATATTAACATTTTTTTCAAGTCAAACAGAGGTTCAAAAGACATGTACAATATTTTAAACCAAGGTACAATACCAGTTGTAATTGCAGCTGAGCGAAAATGGGAGAGTATATTAAATAAAGTTGTTGGAGATTGGAAAAAAATACATAATTGTGTCACTAAATTTTCAAAAAATACCAAGCTCTGTTGGTTTCAATACCAAATTATTCACCGTATTTTAGGTACTAATATTTTACTTTTAAAAATGAACCTTGTACAGTGTAATTTATGTACATTTCGCAAGGAAGAACCAGAAAGCATAGAACACTTATTGTGGGGCTGTCATATTGTAGCAGACATTTGGCACCATCTGAATGCTTGGATTTTTGAAGCAACACATATTGAAATTCCACTAAATGTGGATATAGTCATGTTTGGCCTTTATGATAACTATAAACTAAATTTTATGAAAAATAAAGTCATTTTACTAGCAAAGTTTTTCATCTACAGATCTAAGATGCAGGAGGAAAAACCTCATATAGAGGGTCTTAAAAACTATATCAAAGAAAATTTAATTTTAGAAAAGCATATTTCTTCAAAAAATATGAGTGCGAAAGAATATAACATGTACTGGAACCCCTGGGATAAAGTCATCAATTAGGTTTAATAATGTATTATAATGTATAAATGTGCTTGAAATGTAATTACAATTATTTAATGAAAATGTTATACTTCGTCCTTAAATCTATATTGTATTCTGTTATATCGTATCGTATTATTATTACTATTTTTTTTTTACTTTCGTTTGCTTGATAATGCTTATTTATCTCGCTTGCTTCATTATGTGCCACTAAAGATAATATATGTAAATGTCTGTCAATCCATGATGAACAAATATAAATTATAAAAAAAAAAAAAAAAAAAAATAAAGCTGTCAATTCCATGGAGTGCTTGGCACTATCTTGAAAGTCCAAACAAACACAGATGTCAAACTATACTCAGAATTGTAAAAGGAAACACTGTACATATTTCCTTCGAAACGCTAAGGTTTTTAAACCCAAAGCATAATTCGCTTTTGCCAGATTTTACACAACGTTGGAATATTTTGTCTTCATTTCTGTTCCACTTCGTCATTGGATTGGCCTGTTTTGTCTTCCACTTCGTCATTGGATTGGACTGTTTTGTCTTCCACTTCGTCATTGGATTGGACTGTTTTGTCTTCCACTTCGTCATTGGATTGGACTGTTTTGTCTTCCACTTCGTCATCGAACTGGCCTGTTTTGTCTTCCACTTCGTCATTGGATTGGACTGTTTTGTCTTCCACTTCGTCATTGGATTGGACTGTTTTGTCTTCCACTTCGTCATTGGATTGGCCTGTTTTGTCTTCCACTTCGTCATTGGATTGGACTGATTTGTCTTCCACTTCGTCATTGGATTTGACTGTTTTGGGTTCCACTTCGTCATCGAACTGGCCTGTTTTGTCTTCCACTTCGTCATTGGAATGGACTGTTTTGTCTTCCACTTCGTCATTGGATTGGACTGTTTTGTCTTCCACTTCGTCATTGGATTGGACTGATTTGTCTTCCACTTCGTCATTGGATTGGACTGATTTGTCTTCCACTTCGTCATTGGATTGGACTGTTTTGTCTTCCACTTCGTCATCGAACTGGCCTGTTTTGTCTTCCACTTCGTCATCGAACTGGCCTTTTTTGTCTTCCACTTCGTCATCGAACTAGCCTGTTTTGTCTTCCACTTCGTCATTGGATTGGACTGTTTTGTCTTCCACTTCGTCATTGGATTAGCCTGTTTTGTCTTCCACTTCGTCATTGGATTGGACTGTTTTGTCTTCCACTTCGTCATCGAACTGGCCTGTTTTGTCTTCCACTTCGTCATTGGATTGACCTGTTTTGTCTTCCACTTCATCACTGGATTGGACTGTTTTGTCTTCCACTTCGTCATTGGATTGGACTGTTTTGTCTTCCACTTCGTCATCGAACTGGCCTGTTTTGTCTTCCACTTCGTCATTGGATTGACCTGTTTTCTCTTCCACTTCGTCATTGGATTGGACTGTTTTGTCTCCCACTTCGTCATTGGATTGGACTGTTTTGTCTTCCACTTCGTCATTGGATTGGCCTGTTTTGTCTTCCACTTCGTCATTGGATTGGACTGTTTTGTCTTCCACTTCGTCATTGGATTGGCCTGTTTTGTCTTCCACTTCGTCATTGGATTGGCCTGTTTTGATTCTAGGGGAACTGATTGGCCTTGTGTACAGGAAACGCCGGTATATTGAACTAAAATATAAGCCTATGACCTTTGACAAGTTTTTAACAGTAATATATGAAAAATATCAGCTACATTTATTTGCTGTTTTATTATTGTTTATTGTATTTTTACAGGAAAGTTGTATAGCTGTTGAGAGTCACATATTCAATTTTAAAGAAGGATATAAATTAGGATGTGTTGCCAAACAGGTTAGATATTTTGTAAAAACATGATCATTATGTTTGCTAATGAGACAACTCTTCACCAGAGACCAAATGACATGGAAGTTAACAACTATAGGTGTTGAGATTGTCTCGGGAACATAACTATTGTACTTGTCCATTGTCGACATCGTATTGTCAGTGAAGACGCCTTTGGATACTAAATGTAATGGTTGAACAGTTGTCGTTATACACATTGCATTAACTATCATCTATAATAGGTCGCCGCATGGCCTTCAAAAAGAGCAAAATTCATACCACATAGTCAGCTATAAAATGGCCCGAAATGACAAATGTTAAACAATTCAAAAGAGAAAACTAACCAGGCTAACGGCATAATTAAAAGAGAGACGGAACTACAATAATGCATAGATGTTTCGCGTCCTGTAGATGCATAAACTTTGAAATCTAGTTGAATTCGAATATCGAAGAGTCTGTTTTATATCCTTAATGGAATTATCAAAAAAATTAAATTAATTTTGCTTTGATGAGTGAGGTCAATTGGATAGAACATTGATATTGGACAATTTGAACAGTTTGGTGCAAAGCTTGAGATGAAAGATCAAACTAGCGATGCTCTCTCGCATACACGACGACCAATTATGTCCAAGATATGCTCATTTGATGATTTATCTCCAGCTTTGTACCAGGAATGGCAGAGACTACAACAACAACTAATTCAAGGTTTTAACCATGGAATGAGAAAACGGTTAGCATCGGTGATTCGTGTGAATCGTGGTGCAACTAGCTATTGAACCATGTTGTGTTTATTGTAACCACTGACATATATTCTCGTTTTTCAAATAAAGGGATTGTGCTACTTTTGAGCATCCAAAGTTAAACATTTCAATAACCAAGACGTCCCCTTGTTTGAAAAAACATTGTACTTAATCAAATTCGTTATTTTTCTTTTAACTTTTTATTTCATTTATGACTTGTGATCTTGTCAATAACATAATTGTATACTTTATATACCTCTGGAAACATAAAAGATATCATATGTTCTAATATTTTGGTTTGTCAGAGACATCGAGTTTTTACTTTGATATCGTTCTCATTTCATTAATGCAGAATTGCAAGGATTTGTTAGCAATGCACATAGAAGGAGTGTGCTGTGACAGTAATTTTTGCAATGGGAATTATGTTCCATCGACGACTCTCATTCAGCCAACTTCAACAGTAGTCCCAACAACGGCATCAGCACAGAGTCAACTTGGTCTTCCTACAGGTAAGCAAACCACACTATTAATAAATGTATATAATTAGGAAACTTTGATCTCAAGATTTTAGAAAAACAAATATAGTGATACTGAAGATAAAGCTACCCTTATATTCACTGGAGTGTATGGATTTTCCAAACTAAATTTTTGGAGTAAAAATACTCATTTTGCTGAAAAACAACCACTAGGTCGATGCTACTGATGGTGGTCAGGGTTGGCAAAAACCCGGGTTTTATGAGTATTGCCCAGCCCAGTTGGAAATACTGGAAAAACCCGGGTTTTACTGGGTTTTACCGGGTAATTCTGGGCAATACTGGGTAATATAAAATACTGGTCTGAATTTTAAACAGGATCCAGTGATCAAACACAAATGTAATACATTTAAGATAAAATCATATTAATAAACATGTTTTGATTCATAAATAAGTTTTCTTGTTTGAGAGTCTTATAATACAAGTGTATGCATTTAAAAAAGTATTATTCTAGCAACACTGAGACAAGTGTACATAAAGACACATGAGACAAATATTAATGGAAAAAGCCTTTCTCAATAATTCTCCCAAAAATCTATTGAATCACCCTTCTGTTTAGATTGGTCAAACAGTAAACATAAAACCAAAGAATTCATTGTTTTTCAAATATATATAACTAATATTAAGAATAAACAATTGAAAAATACATGTAAGAAAAATTTCTTTTACATAATTTATATGTACATCACTAATTAATATGTAATTATTCAGATTAGAACACAGATTTGTTTATATAACAATAATCAGCCTTTTCATTTCTATAGGGGTTAATGACATGACCCTGTAGGGTGTTTATTTAGCTATATGATTGCATAGCAATTTAAATTTATTTACTTAAACACTGCAATAAAATGCATTTTTTTCAAAGTTTGGATTATTAAAACAATGCTTGGAAGGTATCATAAAATGTGCAAATCGTGTATTCTGCCTACATAGAATTAGTGGAGAAGAGAATGAAATTGAATTTTCAATCTTCTAGAAATGACTCTCAATGGTTATCTATGTAAAATGTATATATTTAGCTACATGTATAATACTATGAAACTACAACAAGTCTTTACTATTTTGTGTTGAAATAAGCTTAAAAAATCATATTGCCCAGTATTGCCCAGAATTATCCGTTTCTGGGAGTTTTGCCCAGCCCGGGAAAACCCGGCTTTTCCCACCTGTGTTTTCCCGGGCGGGATATACTTTGCCAACCCTGCTGGTGGTAGTTCTGTCCCCGATGATATCACCATCCAAGTAGTCAGTGTGTTGATATGAAGGATCTTTCATCCGTTCTTTTTTTTATGGCCCCGCAACAAAGTTGTCGGGGCCATTTAGTTTTACCCTTGTCCGTCATTCTGTCATTCCGTCATTCCGTCATTCCGTCATTCCGCAACAAACCATTATACGGACTTTTTTCTAAACGCCTTCAGATATTGGGCTGATTTTTTGTATGTGAGTTAACCATGATGAGTTACAGATCAAGTTTAAGTTTCGTTCCGCTCTGTTAATTTTTGCCGAAATTAAGGGGCTTTGGACTTTCATAAATTGTTGAAAATCACAGTTATACGGACTTTTTTTCTAAACGCCTTCAGATATTGGGCTGATTTTTGGTATGTGAGTTAACTATGATGAGTAACGGATCAAGTTTAAGTTCCGTTCCGCTCTGCTAATTTTTGCCGAAATTACGGGCTTTGGACTTTGATAAATTGTTGAAAATCACAGTTTTAGGGACTTTTTTCTAAACGCCTTTAGATATTGGGCTGATTTTTGGTATGTGAGTTAACCATGATGAGTTACAGATCAAGTTAAAGTTTCGTTCTGCTCTGCTAATTTTTGCCGAAATTACGGACTTTGGACTTTGATAAATTGTTGAAAATCACAGTTATACAGACTTTTTTTCTAAACGCCTTTAGATATTGAGCTCATTTTTGGTATGAGAGTTAACCATGTTGAGTTACAGATCAAGTTTATGTTTTGTTCCGATATGCTGATTTTCATGTCTTTTCAACACATCTTCAGTACATCCACTTCCTGTTTGCTGATAGTTTGAAATTTAACTACTCATTGATCAAGGAAATTTTCATCAAACTAGTATTGGTCTTGAGAGCTGGATACTATCCATGCATGTTTGTGTCCACATGTGTTGTTGAAATTGCAGATTTTTCTCTTTTTTTGAGACGAGGCCATTCGTGTCGTTCCGACACATCTGTTTAAACTTACTGTTTATAAAATGTTAAACTATTAGCAAAACTAAGGTTTTTTTTTACCTCTAGGGGTAGGTATTATTAACCGTTTTTGCACAGTTTCCGAAATTATTGGTTTTCAATGCTGATATTTTATGATATCAATGTGTACAAAACTCGACAATTTAAACTTACAAATAGATTTAAAAAAAAAAGAACAATTATTGGTAAGTCTATATTCATTACAGGAGACCCAAAATTATATTTCGCTTTAACTAAGTTACCTCAAATCAGTGAAGAGACATATTATGAACTGTTTATTGAAAAATAAACTTATGAAATGTGATCTATGCTGGTCAAATGAGGAAAACCATCATTTGTACTTCTAGTCTCATCGGAAAAGCGCTACCAGAATTTGTTGAACTATATACTGTTTTGATTTCTGATATTAAAAAAAAGTTTGAGCAAGCTAAAACTATCATCTCATTATCCATACCAAGAGAGAGGCGAAAGATACACAAGGGACATTCAAACTCATAAGTCGAAAATAAACTGACAACGCCATTGGAAAAAAAAAGAAAAAAAAGACAAACAGACAAACCACAGTACACAAAACAAAACATAGAAAACCAAAGACTGAGTAACACGAACCGCGCCAAAAACCGGAGGTGATCTCCGGTGCTCCGGAAGTGTAAGCCGATCCTGCTCCACATGTGGATACCGTCGTGTTACTCGTGTAAGTACAAACCTGGTGATAAGTCTAATTTGGTAAGTCACATTCGGGGAAAAGGAGACGGGCTTGTAGTTACGACAAGTTTGCGTAAGAATATATAATCTTGAGCTAAATAATAAACTCAGAAAACATTTTTCACCAAGCTCAGTATTTTGAAGGTCTCCATGTTTTAATAAGTGACAATTCTAGTCTAGGTGTTTCTTTTAGATTTTTTTACAAAAGGTACATAAGGTACATCTACATTGTATCTCAAGAAGGTAATTATCTTTTTGTTGGAAATTTATAAGTCTCTTAAATTTTTCAAAGCAGAGTTACAACATGTATCAGAAACATGAACTGTGGATCTGGTTATATCAATTTTTTGGAATGTTTTAATCATAAAAAAAGGATATAAATGATGTACACAATGTTGATTAACATACAAAAAGTCATGTAAAGTTTTTATTTTAGTACTCTGATACTTAAATATGTATGAACATATTCTGAAATGGTTTGATTTGAAAAAGAAAATGCCAATGTGTAAATGTATGTCACAATATATAGAATGAGAAGTTATATCTAATTTAAAAAAAAACAAATGACCATCCTGAAGTACTTAGCATACGTTTTCTGTGGACTGCGAGGTGGTATGCGTATGGGTTGGGCGGAGGATGCACATATAAAAAACAGTTTATATCCTGTTTTTCAATCTCTTTGACATATAACTGATTGCAAATTGGTCATAATATGTATAGATAATAGAATCATAGACGTATATAGGTAAACGGGACAGCCATTCAGTCTGATGTACAAGAACATTTCCATTGCTGTCCATTATTTTGAATGCAAAAGTTATATTTCAGTTTTTCTCCATGATTAAAAGTCAATTGAGGTTAATTGTGATAAGATATTACACGTCTCTGCGTATCTGATGACTAACAATATGTTCCATGTGATGGAGCTACAATATCCTCCTTTTTATTTCGATTGTGACATTACCGAATGCGATGTATCGACGAATTATCACTTGAAATGACACAGGCGGATACCACTAAGGCAGCGGGAACTGCTCACTATTACGGGATACATGAGTTTATCCATTTTTTGTTTTAAAGGGGTTATTATTTCTTTTGCTTAAGGTTCACTATTTTATTTTAATGCTATGTTATAATGCGTTGTTAGGATTTGGGTTTGTTTAGTTTATCTGCAATTCTGATAAACTTTACAGTAAAAATTGCACTCCTCGATTCGTTGAGTAATTTGAGTTGTGTAATATTTGTTTTCTTCTGTTTATTTGTTTTGCTTTATCACGTGAGTCTGATCGTCTCTTTATCGATATACGTTTTTTGTTTGTTATAACCATCATTCATTTTGATCTACAACACGTCACCTGTTTTTATTAAATTGTTTTAGGTTGTAAACCTAGTTTTGAACATGAATGCCCACTGAGATTTATCCGAAAAGGACAAAGCTGCTACTTCTTTGGTCAACACGCAAGAACAATGCATGACGCAAGGGTATGTATTTTTACTATATCATAAGTGTCAGTAGTACCATGTACATTGTTAAAGAATATTTCTAAACAGTTTATCAACGAAGCATAAACGAAATTAAACTACTTATATAATTTGAGTCACATGTAAAATATCTGTCCAAGAAATTAAACTGTATTAATAATATCAGTGAGGATAGAAATAATGAAAAAAATATATAGGCAAATCTTTTAATTTGGCCATATTTCATTTGAAGATACATATACCCATGTTTGCGTTTTTTTAATGATTGAAATCAATTCGAGATTCCCAAACAGCCGAGAAGATTGATGAAAGGTGAAGGTTAACAAAAAAATATTTATAAATATAAAATCATTTTTGTCATGAAAATCAAATCCAAGTTAATTTTATCAGGGATTATTTTACAATTAAACAAAATAGCACGGACGATTATCATATGATGTTTTGTCGGTTTTTAATTAAAAATATGTGTTATAGGGTTGGTCTTCTTTCAAAATCAATTGGATTTAATAGTTTAATAGTCATTGCACTGTAAAAATATGAAAATAAAAGAACCCCACAGCGTTCCCTAATTATACATGTTATATATAATAAGAAGATGTGGTATGAGTGCCATTGAGACAACTCTCCACACAAGTCACATTTTTTAAATTAAAGTAAACCATTATGGGTCAAAGTACGGCCTTCAACACAGACCCTTGGCTCACACCGATCCGCAAGCTATAAAGGGCCCCAAAAATGATAAGTGTAAAACCATTCAAACAGGAAAACCAACGGTCTAATCTATATAAAAAACGAGAAACGAGAAACACGTATGAACCACATCAACGAACGACAACAACTGAACAACAGGTTCCTGACTTAGGACAGGCGCAAACAAATGCAGCGGGTTTAAACGTTTTAACAGGCGCCAATCTTCACCCTAACCTGAAATAATAGTGTAACATCACAACACAGAAAGACTCACGATAAAATATCAATTGAAATGGCTTAACCCAATCAAAAGACATATTCACAAAAACAATTCAACATACACTGAACGAATAAATTTCATCTATGACACAATGTAAAATACAAAATTAATAAAAAAAGGGATGAGATGTAAAACAATATAAGAAAGACAACTATAACCTTGGACAAAATGCCGTTTAATAAAATAACGTACACAGGTAAATACAAATAATTTTGTTGTATGCAGTACATGGAGTACGGAAATATTTTTTACGAAATAAATAAATTTGTTGTTCATAGAACGTGAACAGAAGTGAAAATTTATCGTTGTACTAAATACTTATCAAAGGGGGTATATATTAAAAATAGTGAGACGAGATATAACACAAAATAAGTAAACATTAAATAACAAAAATGCATTACAAATTGTATCAACAGGTCAAATTAACACGAAAGTACGATTTGAGAGTACTCGCAGTTACTGAAAGCTAGTTAAAAGCCAAAAACAATTAATAACCAAAAAAAAAAAAAAAGAATTCATTAGAGACTAAACTCATCTAAAACACATCCGAGGGATTTAGTGTTTTAACGTCATGGACAGTCAAAAAAACATTGACTTGTGCAATGCCAAAGATAAAAGTATCGACAGGCAGTAGGATAGTTAGGATTTAACCTTTTAATAAATATGTATAATGTTATATATAGATAAAGTAATTTCGTGGATGTGTATTTATACATCCCAAAAAACATTTGAAAAGAATACAAATTTAGTTATATTTTAATTTGTTGATAACAAAATCGATATTTGTGCCAATATAAACAATATTCAAAGATCTAATTACAATATTGATAAGATAACCTTTATTAATAAGTTTGTTTAAAGGTTCGATGAGTTTACACGGATCAAGTATGACAGGTATTTCCCGAAAACCTTCATTAATTACGCCCGAGACGCCAAGCCATGTAGCATGTATAACAACTCGAAATATTCGACACTGAACATCGTCTAAAAAATAGTTTGGTAGACGGAATGCAGCCATAGTTTATAGGCATAAACTCCTTTGTAATATGCAATTACATGTTCCATCAAAGATAATTTCATTATGTTTTCCTGTTGAAACATGTGAATAAAAAACAACAGGTGTCACCAACGCTATGTCACCATGTAAAATTCTGGAGTTATGATTGCTGTATTTCATTTTTTTTTTAGAATGTGTGTAAATATTTTTGTACGAGACTCGTTATTATTAGCAGCAAAAGGGAAAATTTGGCAATATCCCAACTCTTAAGTCAACAGCGACATCAGGGTAATAAACTGTTCAGCACTATTATTATTTTTATAAAATAAGGTCAGATTTGGATGAATTCTAATTGTTTCCTTTATCAAAAGAATATATAGTAAGAATGTATAGTGTCCATGCATCGCTTACAAGGATCTGACAGCACTCAATGCTAACTTCTGTTCTGGTAATTTTTACATCAGCAAATGAACTTTCAACCTTAAGATTCCTTAAGGTGTGTATCATAAAGACAAAACAAGAGGTTCCCAAAAGGGTGTATGATAAAGACAAAACAAGAGACTCCCAAAAAGGTGTATTATAAAGACAAAACAAGAGACTCCCAAAAGGGTGTATTATAAAGACAAAACAAGAGGATCTCAAAAGGTGTATTATAAAGACAAAACAAGAGGATCCCAAAAGGGTGTATTATAAAGACAAAACAAGAGGATCCCATAAGGGTGTATTATAAAGACAAAACAAGAGGATCCCAAAACGTGTATTTTAAAGACTATTATAAAGACAAAACAAGAGGATCCTAAAAGGGTGTATTATAAAGACAAAACAAGAGGATCCATAAAGGGTGTATTACAAAGACGAAATAAGAGGATCCAAAAAAGGGTGTATTATAAAGACAAAACAAGAGGATCCATAAAGGGTGTATTACAAAGACGAAATAAGAGGATCCAAAAAGGGTGTATTATAAAGACAAAACAAGAGGATCCATAAAGGGTGTATTATAAAGACAAAATAAGAGGATCCCAAAAGGGTGTAATAAAAAGACAAAACAAGAAGATCCCAAGGGGTGTATTATAAACAGAAACTAGAACGGACTGTAGACAGATCTTTATAATCGAAGCGTGGAGAAGCGTGGACACAGTATCTGTATTTTAATAAGATTGACATGAACAATCATTAATCTCTTTTAAAAAACCCAAAAATGTAAATAGATCCCCCATGTAGTATATATATAACTTTAAATGTTGTCCCTTGGATATCATAACAACATCAGGCAGATTGACATTTTCACCAAACGTACCCTATATCTAAATGTGAATATGATGTAATCCATTTTTTTGGGTCATTGTGAAGAAAGAAAGACTTGATTCAAACATTTCATGGTGAAATATAGCTGAAATTTATGTTTTTTTTTGCGATTATGAAATTGTTAGTCATGAATTAAACAAGTAAAATAAATTCACAATCATGGTTCATGTCTTTTTTGAGAAATTCAGTGCCTTTAGCACTTCACATTATTGTATTTTCAACTTTATTTAGGTTTTTTTGATTAATTAATATCAATCATTTCATGCATATACTTAGGACTGTCGTCATTGCTTATCTTATTTCATTTTTTTATTGTTTCGTCAGTTGGAAGGATATCTTCGTATTCATGGTATAACTTTTGTACGTTTTTGCTTAATTCACTCACAACTTTTTAGACTAATGACCATTTAGGGTTCGGCATATTAGACACACGTGTATCGTTGAAGACTATTCTGACTTCTAGATATCCTTTTGGCTATAAGTGTCATTAGTTTGCTGTCTCATTGATGTGTACACCGCATCGTCTTTAATTCATACCTATAAATTTGTATCTTCCAGCTAATCGTTACTGGCTAGATGCTTATAGGAACTCGTCAAGTTTCAGCGGCCCATGGCACTGGAGGAGCACAGGTGATATATTACGGAGACAAACGTACTCTCATTGGAGACCTGGATCACATGATCAAACCAAACCTGATGGCGAACATTGCGCTAGCATTGGAAAGGCTGAATCCGGGGACTCGGATAACGGATATTACTGGGACCGCAGAAGCTGTACAATTCATGCGCCTGCAATCTGTGAATATCCTCTAGGGCATGAACCTTGAAAAATAAATAAAGGATTAAAAACGATTGTAGACTTTTACCGGTGTTATAATTTTGAAAATTAATTTCCAATGAGAAAAAAAATATATGCAGACAAGGTAAATTAGAATCCTACTTTTAAACATGGTTTTCATGGTAATGAATGTTTAGTATACCAATTTAAAAATTCGTTGGTTATATTAAATGGAAATTAAGAGTACACGTTAATAAGCGAACGACCTAACGACACTAACAAACTTATTTTAATACAGTTATTTTTGTACGAAAATTGAAAATTGAAATCTTATTACATTCCCAAAAACGTCATATGCGTGGCAACTATTGATATTTCAATTTGCAAATCTTTTTAAATTGCTATTATATCTTTTTATAACTGTTTCGTCATGCTTTTCTTGATCATCAAACAAAGTGCCAAATAGGTTTCTCTGGTTAAGATCTGTTTTGTGATTCATGTGCTATTCAAGTCCATCTTTCTGAGTTACAAATTTTAAACACGTGACAAGACCAAGTCCTTTGGTGTTGAAATTGTAATGCTTAGAATGATATATAGAAGAGCTAACCAGTTGCTATTAAGACCTACGTATTTATTTCATTACCTGCAAATTACTATCATTATATAAATAGGACGATGTGGTTCATGTATGATTGCCGATGAGACAACTCTCCACCAGAGACCAAACGACGTAGAACAATGCAACTATATGTCACCGTACGGACTTCAAGAATGAGCAAAACCCATACCGAATATTTTAACTATATAAGGCCCCGAAAGTGTAAAACAATTCACACGAGATATTTAATGGCCTGATCCATGTACAAAACAATGAACGAAAAAAAAATATAAAAAACAGCAATGAATTCTTAAAAATAAATTAACAATTTCTTATCAAAACATATCGAGTTAGAATAGGCATCGACACTCTTCACAATAAATAACGCAGTTCAAAATATTATTTTTTTGGTTTATACTTTAATGATTTGTAGCACTCAAACTGATTTCACATACTATGGTGCTTACTAATTGGTTTTGCTAATTATGTAAGGCCGTACGCTAACATAAACTTGTTAACATCCATGCTGTGTAATTCTTTGGTTGAACCCCATAGGTTGACCGGGGAACAGAAATGTGGTCAGTCTTGGTCTTCTTTCGACCGGCAGTAAAACCATTGCCAAAGTGGGGTGTTCGTTTGGTTGTGCGGGATGTAAAAGTGTGCAGCAACGTCCGGTCAGAATGGGGACGTTGAATCCGATGCCTCGTTTAAAGAGAGTGCCACGCTCTCTGCACATTACGAACCCGTCAAACGACTTTTTACAGGAGGTATTGCCCTTACATGACAAATTTTACAATGTTTTTCACTTTTGCCTTTTATCTTGAAAACTAAAACAGATAGAGAGAAACTTTTTGATGCAAAAAAAAATCAGCAAGACAAGATCTACAAATAAGTATGTATCGTCCAAATCGTCAGTGACTTCAAATTAGAGTTATTGCCCTTTGATGACGATTTTTACCATTTTTTTGCGTTTTTGCCTCATATCTTAAAAACTATATTGACATGATAATAGATAGATAGAAACTTAAACAAGAAAGCATGATCAGCTTGACAAGATCTACATTTAAGACAATAGAAAGAAAATTTTCCGACGACTCCTTATTGGAGTTAATGCTATTTAATGGCGATTTTTACCATTTTTTATGCGTTTTGCCTTGTATGATAAAAATTTTAATACATGTAGATAAACAGAAACTTTAAATAACAAAAATGATAAGCAAGGCAACACCAACAAACAAGTAAAAATTTGCCGATATAGTTACTAGACTGTCACTCTTCATTGAAGTGATTGCCCTTAAATGAGGATTTTCTTTATCCTCTTGTTTTGTTTTGAGCAAAAACATAAGAAGATAGAAAGACATTAAACAGAAAAAATGATCAGCAATACAAGAAAAAAACAAATTTTGGTCATGAATTCTATTCTTGTCTGCAATGTTGGAGAGAGTCCATTGTTGATTATGCACATAACCTAGGTGAGCGACACAGGCTCCTTAGAGCCTCTAGTTTATTTTATGTAAATGAAACAGATGGATTATTCTGTATAGAACATCACAGAATTAGACGTGATTATCGAATTCGTACTTCCATGCGCAACACGACGGGTGCTCCATGTGGGCCTGTAATTCGGATTTCGGTTGTGTTCGTGGCGCTCAGTCTCCTATGCCGTATTTTGTACACTGTTGGTTGTCTTTTCGTAATGTAACGGTTTTTCTTTGCCATGGCGTTGTTAGTTTTCCTTTGACTTATGAGTTTGAATATCCCTTTTATAATTCTTTTCCGATTTAGGTGTGCTTTCCTATGTAGCTCACAAAGAGAAGCACTGTTCAGGATAAATTTTGTAAAATATTCAAACAGTCCTATACATTTTGCTAAGAAATGTTTGGGTTGGGTGGGGGATTATTTTACCTTTTTCGTCAGTTTAAGTGGTTTACAGTGATATTCGTCGGGTAAAGCGGCATAACTCATATCTATATCCGGTTTGGTAAAAACTGTACGTCTTTTACTACTATGAGTGTTGTTCTCTTTGTTAGGTACCAAATACTACAGAAAAATTATAATTATTATTAATTTTATCATTATTGATATTGGGTTTTGTTTTGGTCCTATTTGTTTCCGTGGTTTCATTCATTTTATGTGTTTGGCTTTCCCAAGCATTTGACCTGGGTATATACCAAATAAAAATTTTTCCAGACACGCCTATTTCTTTCATAGTTTTTGGAAAGATTGGAACTTGTTCTATATCTTTCCTAAAGCACCGGCCTCTCTAACAATAAGTAGCACAGGTTAGCTACTAAATCTACAAAAATGTATACACACTAAAGTATAGTTCCCTATAATTCTAATGTCTGTGTACATATGCAGACCCTTCAATATACATCTCAATTCACTCTCAATACACAAATATTTGACCTCATAATTGAATGCACAAATGTATATATTAGATATTTGATATATAGAGATGATAGATTTATTCATTGTCTATTACTTTTGATCTACACTACATAAGGTGATTCTGTAAATTATGTCTGAAAGATAAATGATTAATTAAGGATTAATAAGATCTTAAAAAAAATGAAATTTAAATATAGATATATAAAAGGTATTCAAGTAAGGCCTATGATTTACTTGATAAATCTGCAATAATCATCTGTGATTAATCAATAATAATCAGTGATTGGCTTGAAACAGTTAGTAAAATTTTAAAACTCTTAATTAGAGCAAACCCATATTTCTTTAACTTATTCCCCATCAAATGTCTGTTAACAATTTTAGTCATTTGAATATAAGAAGTGTATATATACTTTTGCAATCAAGAAAGAATCCCCATTTCAATCAAAAAAGTTTTTTAATTTGTTTATGTTGAAAAAGTACATTTTCAATGCCCTTTCCTGAAAAATATCTAAATCATAAATTGATTAAAATACACTCTACAACTTTTAATCTTCAGTGTCATATGATCATGATAATTGTTTTCAAAATCAATAAGCAATTCTCCGAGGAGAAAAATAGTATACCTATGTTTCAACTTACAAAATGCCAAAAAACAACATTTTTAGATTAACTTTTTGACACAAAAAAGTTCTTAGCTTCAAGTTTATCTGTTGGTCCTATGTCTTACAAGTATAATTGATAAACTTTATTAGATGAATCTTTGTTTTGTAATTTCATTTGTTTCAAAAGATAAAATTATAAGGTGAAACATGTAACAGGGAACATTATTTGGTTGAGATATAAACTGCAATTTAAATTGAAATTGTTGTGCAAATTAATCATTCAACTTGATTCACATTTAGCTCATTTCATCTACTGAAAAAGTGCCTATCCGTCTAAAGACCTACAGTTAATGCAATTTTCAGCAATAGTGCTTTATTAATGTTCTTTTTTGTCCACATCATACCTAAATATGATTTGAAATTATTCAAACTACTCTTCCAATCTTTCCATTAGTGATTTCCATCACTTTGATTGCATAAGACCTACAACAAAATGTTGTATTAATCAAGATACAGAATCTAGTTTTAATTCAAACAGGCCTTCAGGAGCCATTCATAAATTATATTTATTAAACAACAGTATTTGTTACCACCAGGCCGCTAGGCAAAGGGGGTAATAATTAAACCCATCATAGGTACATGTACAAGGATTAAAATTCTGTACGCCAGACGCGCGATTCGTCTACAAAAGACTCATCAGTGCCATTCGAATCAACAAAGTTAAAAAGGCTAAATAAAGTACGAAGTTGAAGAGCATTGAGGACCCACAATTCCTAAACATTTGGCCAAACAAGTCTAAGGTAATCCTTAGGTTTTACCCTAGACGATCCGTCCTTCCGTCCATTCTTCCATTCGTCTTTCTGTTTGTCCCAAAAGTATTATCACATATAAGCGAGCTTTAGCGGGGGCATTCGTGTCCTCAGAGATATTCTCCTTTATTTTTTTATTTGTTGTTGAAGGCATGCGATGACCCGTCTTTGCTCACACCCTTGTTCCTTGGACTAGATTCATAGATATCTCGCTAATTATTATTTCATACTCTTTTAATAAGGAATTTAAAATATTCATTAGAAAGTGCAACATGGGATATAAATGATTAATTTTAAAGTGTGAAAACTCATACAGTTACCCGACTGTTAAACATTAATAATAATACATAATTATTTTACATTTACAAATAAAGTACAAATGATATATTTATGTAATACATGCATGATCTGTTAAATTCGTTTAAAAGAATAAATCGACAAATAAAAATCGAAGCAATTGGATTATAAAATTGTAATCTAATAAAAATTTTATCAGAATCTTAACAACCCGACTCAAAAAAAGTATTCTCAATATGTTTCAAAACATGTATTATAACCACGTCAATTATGTTATCTTAATTACTGTTGAAATGGTATTATATTAATTTACTTAATAGACGTTTATTGTTTTATATATATATTGTTCATAAGAGTTTAAAGGGAACTTTTCTATGTCTGAATAAAT